GGATTCTGTTGGTTAGGATCTTGTTGAATATTTTCACATCAATATTTATTAGTGATATTGGTCTATAATTTTCTTTTCTTGTTGGGTCTTTTCCTAGTTTGGGAATCAAGGTGATGTTTGCTTCATAGAATGTGTTGGGTAGTATTCCGTATTTTTCTGTATTTTGGAAAAGGTTGAATAATATAGGTAGTAGTTCCTCTTTAAAGGTTTGGTAGAATTCTGATGTGAAGCCATCTGGTCCCAGGCTTTTCTTTTTAGGGAGATTTTGTATAGCTGATGCTGTTTCAGAACTTGATATAGGCCTGTTCAACATTTCTGCTTCATTCTGGCTAAGTTTTGGCAGGTGGTGTACTTCCAAGTATTGGTCGATTTCCTTCAGATTGTCATATTTCTGAGAATAAAGTTTCTTGTAATATTCATTAAGGATTTTTTTGAATTTCTGAGGGGACTGTTATTTCATCTTTACTGTTTCTGATTGATAAGATTAGAGATTTTACTCTTTTTTTCTTAGTTATGTTGGCCAAAGGTTCTATTTTATTAACCTTTTCAAAAAACCAACTTTTTGATTTATTGATCTGTTCTATAATCCTTTTGTTTTCTATTTCATTTAATTCTGCTCCAATTTTGGTTATTTCTTTTCTTCTGCTGGGTTTGGGATTAGAATGTTCTTCCTTTTCCAGTTGCTTGAGATGCTCATTAAGTTGTTAACTTCCTCTCTTTCCGTTCTCTTGAGGAAGGCTTGCAGTGCTATAAATTTCCCTTTTAGGACTGCCTTTGCTGTATCCCAGAGGTTCTGACAACTCGTGTTTTCATTATCATTTTGTTCTAAAAATTTGGTAATTTTCTTCTTGATCTCATCTCTGACCCATCTATCATTCAGCATAAGGTTATTTAGTCTCCATGTTTTTGTATGAGACTGAAGATTCCTGTTGTTACTGAGTTCCACTTTTATTCCATGATGGTCTGAGAAGATGCATGGAATAATTTCTATTCTTTTGAATTTACTTAGGTT